TGGAGGCCAGCAACGGGGGTCGTGGCACGTTTGTTTCAGTTTGGCTACGTTTGGTTTGGTTAGGTTTTGTTATGTTTGGTTAGGATGGTTTTGTCCTTTGTGGTATACACTGCTATTCGTCGCATTTCTACGCTCTGCTGTGCTCTAGTATATCCTGCTTTGCCATGGGGATGTCGGCAGTATTGGTCTCAGCACGATAGTCTGTGTTCGGTTGCGTTGGGCTATGTTACGTTTTATTATGTTCGGAGAAGGAAGCTATGACCTTTGCGCTATTCACCGCTATTCGGTGGAATTCCACGCTTTACCTTACTCTCCTATCCTCTGCTCGTCTCCGGGGTGGCCAGCAATAGTGACCTTGGCCCGTTAGTTTGAGTTAGGCTGCGTTCGGTTACGTTACGTTAGCTTGGGTTAGGTTTGGATAGATTTGTCTTTCGTGGTTTACACTGTTGTTCGGTGGATTTCTGCGCTCTACTATGCTGTAGTACGTTCTGCTTGCCTCTGGAGGTGCCAGTGATAGTGGCCTCAGCACGTTAGGTTGAATTACAATATGTTTGGCTATGTTCCGTTGGTTTTGGTTAGTTTCGGGTAGCTTTGACTTTTCCGATATACATTGCGTTTCTATGGACTTCTGCGTTCTACTCTCGACTATGTTCGGCTTGACTCTGGGGAGGCCAGCGAGGATAGCTTCGACTTTATTGCCATGGTCCGCTATTAGGCGGATTTCTGCGCCCTACATGGCTCTAGTGCTAACAGCTTGTCTGTGAGAAGGCCATCAATAGTGGTCTCGGCGCGTTATGCTGAGTCAGGTACATACGGCTATTTTGTGTCATGATAAGATAGGTTAAGATAGCATCAACTCTTATGTTGTACACTGCTATTCGGTGGGACCCCTCGCGGCGGTGGGGATCAGAGGAAACCAATATTATACGCGGTCAGTCAATATTTTCCGCCGTTGGAAGATATTGAAGTCTGCATCACGCAGCTGGATAAGGTGTGGACGTACATGCGAGGCAAAGGGGTCATCGTCGCTGCGGACACCAACGCCAAGTCGCCCCTGTGTTCCAGTTGGGAGTATGACGAACGCGGTGGGCTCCCCGACGGCCTGATTGCACAGCACGGTACCTTAGTGCTGAGCCGGCCGTGCCACGTCAGAACGATTGAGACAACACGCTGGAAACCTAACATCGACGTGACGCTCGCCACTCCGGAAGCTCTACCGCTCGTGCACGAGTGGAAGGTGCATGAGGACGGGACTTCCAGCGAACACCGGATACTGGAGACGCGACTAAACCTGAAGAAGAGGAAAGCACTGCCACCACCACTGCCACCACGCTACCACACCAGGAAGGCCAAGTGGGAAAAGTTTCACAAGCTCATCATGGAAGAGAAGAGGAACCTGTACGAAATAGTAATCAAATGTCAAGAGGATGTAGAGAGTATGGTCGTAGAGCTGGAGCGGGTTATCACCAAAGTCTGCGACGCGGCCATACCGAAGAAGAAATGGCACGAATGGTCCATCTCTTGGTGGACCAAACATCTCACACCCGCCAAGAGAGATGCGTATCGAGCAAGATTGAGGTACCAGGGGACCAAGGACCCCGCAACGAGGGAGACAGAGAAACAGCGCTACAGCGAATTACGAAGGAAGTACACCAGGATGGTGTCGACAGCGAACATCCAAAACGGGCGCCAGTTCGTCACCGAGGAAGGAAACAATGAGCCCTGGGTAATTGTCTACAAGGCTGCCCTCGGGAAACTGAGGAGAGAAGAGGCGACGTGCGCACTCCGCATGCCGCAAGGAGAAACCTCGAGCTGGCGATCCACGGCGGGGGCGATGTTAACCGCTCCCGTTCCAGATGACGACGTGGAAAGAGACACACCCGTGAAACGGTGGATCAGAGAGGACTCAAAGAACGCCCCGGAAACCGCAGAGAGCCCTCCATTCAGCAACGAGGATATCGGCAGCGCGATAGCGCGGCTCAAAAGAAGGCAAATGCCCTGGCCCCAAACAAATCGAGTCGGAGGTAATTCAGGAAGCACCGAGAACCGTTCATCAAGAGCTACTGAAACCCGTCAACGCCTGTTTGGAGTGGGGATTCTTCCCGAGAGGATGAAAATCGGTAACGTTGTAACTATACTCAAAGGACCGGAGAGAGGCAGAAGTAGCCCAAAGTCATATAGGCCGATACGCTTGCTCTCAATGATTGGCAAGCTATTGGAGCGACAATTGGCGGAAAGGATGGACCCACTCTTCCACAATCATATACTGTCATCGGAGCGACAGTTCGGATTCCGTCCTGGAAAATCGACAGAAGATGCTATTGTCAAGCTACGAGGAGCGATAAATGAGAAGAACGAGTGGAAGTACATTTTAGCGATTGCACTCGACAATTCGGGTGCCTTCGATAATGTGTGGTTGCCTAACATGCTCCAAGAGCTGAAGCGAAGGAACTGCGCGCAGAACTTGTACAAGCTGACGACAAGCTACTTCACGGACAGGAGAGTCCAGCTGATAGGGAAGCACGAATCTGTCGAAAAGTCAGTAACAATGGGTTGCACGCATGGGTCGATACTAGGCCCCAGCCTCTGGAATATAGTTTTCTAGAGGACTAGAGTCCGAGGGGACCCAATGCGAAGCGGTCGCGTACGCCGACGATATAATAATCCTGATCGGCGGTAACTCGCAGGAGGAACTGCGGCGAGAGGGGCAATCAGCGGTCACAGCGGTCTCTACTTGGTGCAGCCGCAAGAGGCTAGCACTGTCGGCCGAGAAGACGGAGATGCTGTTGGTGAAGGGAAAGCTCGATGCCGAACGACCACCAACAATACGCATCAACGGGAAAAGCATCAGGATGCGCCCATCGATCAAATACCTGGGCGTGCATCTTGAGCGCGGCCTGAGGATCGAGAAGCACGTGCAGGAGACAGCGCACAAGTGCAGAAGAATGTTCAACAGCCTATTGGGATAGCATGGTTGTATCTGGATATCTTCGATTTTTCTGCTATAAACTGCGATTATATGGATTTCTGCGCCCTACTCTCCTCTAATATGTATTGCATGGCCCTCGGGAGGCCAGCAATAGTGGTCGCGTCACGTCAGGATGAGTCATATTACGTTGGTTAAGTTTGTTCGGGTTAGGTTGGGATACCTTTCACGTTCGTGTTATGCATTGCCATTCTATGGACCTCAGAGCTCTATTCTCCAATGGTATGCCACGTTTGGCAACCTGGGGACCAGCAATTGTTGTCTCGGCACATTAGGATGAGATTGGATGCGTTTGGATAGATTACGTTAGCCATGGTTGTTTTTGGATGGCTTCGACTTTTCAGCTATACACTGCAATCCGATGGATTTCTGCGCTCTACACTTTTCTAATATGCACTCATTGGCGCTGTGGATGCCAGTAATAGTGGTCTCGGCACGTTAGGTTGAGACAGGCTGCGTTCGATTTGGTTACGTTTGGTGCGGGTAGGAATGGATAGCTTTGACCTTCGTGCTATACACTGCTATTCGGGCGATATCTCTGCGCCGTATTGCTCTACTGGCATATGCATGCCTATGTGGAGGCCAGCAACGGGGGTCGTGGCACGTTTGTTTCAGTTTGGCTACGTTTGGTTTGGTTAGGTTTTGTTATGTTTGGTTAGGATGGTTTTGTCCTTTGTGGTATACACTGCTATTCGTCGCATTTCTACGCTCTGCTGTGCTCTAGTATATCCTGCTTTGCCATGGGGATGTCGGCAGTATTGGTCTCAGCACGATAGTCTGTGTTCGGTTGCGTTGGGCTATGTTACGTTTTATTATGTTCGGAGAAGGAAGCTATGACCTTTGCGCTATTCACCGCTATTCGGTGGAATTCCACGCTTTACCTTACTCTCCTATCCTCTGCTCGTCTCCGGGGTGGCCAGCAATAGTGACCTTGGCCCGTTAGTTTGAGTTAGGCTGCGTTCGGTTACGTTACGTTAGCTTGGGTTAGGTTTGGATAGATTTGTCTTTCGTGGTTTACACTGTTGTTCGGTGGATTTCTGCGCTCTACTATGCTGTAGTACGTTCTGCTTGCCTCTGGAGGTGCCAGTGATAGTGGCCTCAGCACGTTAGGTTGAATTACAATATGTTTGGCTATGTTCCGTTGGTTTTGGTTAGTTTCGGGTAGCTTTGACTTTTCCGATATACATTGCGTTTCTATGGACTTCTGCGTTCTACTCTCGACTATGTTCGGCTTGACTCTGGGGAGGCCAGCGAGGATAGCTTCGACTTTATTGCCATGGTCCGCTATTAGGCGGATTTCTGCGCCCTACATGGCTCTAGTGCTAACAGCTTGTCTGTGAGAAGGCCATCAATAGTGGTCTCGGCGCGTTATGCTGAGTCGGGTACATACGGCTATTTTGTGTTATGATAAGATAGGTTAAGATATCATCAACTCTTATGTTGTACACTGCTATTCGGTGGGACCCCTCGCGGCGGTGGGGATCAGAGGAAACCAATATTATACGCGGTCAGTCAATATTTTCCGCCGTTGGAAGATATTGAAGTCTGCATCACGCAGCTGGATAAGGTGTGGACGTACATGCGAGGCAAAGGGGTCATCGTCGCTGCGGACACCAACGCCAAGTCGCCCCTGTGTTCCAGTTGGGAGTATGACGAACGCGGTGGGCTCCCCGACGGCCTGATTGCACAGCACGGTACCTTAGTGCTGAGCCGGCCGTGCCACGTCAGAACGATTGAGACAACACGCTGGAAACCTAACATCGACGTGACGCTCGCCACTCCGGAAGCTCTACCGCTCGTGCACGAGTGGAAGGTGCATGAGGACGGGACTTCCAGCGAACACCGGATACTGGAGACGCGACTAAACCTGAAGAAGAGGAAAGCACTGCCACCACCACTGCCACCACGCTACCACACCAGGAAGGCCAAGTGGGAAAAGTTTCACAAGCTCATCATGGAAGAGAAGAGGAACCTGTACGAAATAGTAATCAAATGACAAGAGGATGTAGAGAGTATGGTCGTAGAGCTGGAGCGGGTTATCCCCAAAGTCTGCGACGCGGCCATACCGAAGAAGAAATGGCACGAATGGTCCATCGCTTGGTGGACCAAACATCTCACACCCGCCAAGAGAGATGCGTATCGAGCAAGATTGAGATACCAGGGGACCAAGGACCCCGCAACGAGGGAGACAGAGACACAGCGCTACAGCGAATTACGAAGGAAGTACACCAGGATGGTGTCGACAGCGAACATCCAAAACGGGCGCCAGTTCGTCACCGAGGAAGGAAACAATGAGCCCTGGGTAATTGTCTACAAGGCTGCCCTCGGGAAACTGAGGAGAGAAGAGGCGACGTGCGCACTCCGCATGCCGCAAGGAGAAACCTCGAGCTGGCGATCCACGGCGGGGGCGATGTTAACCGCTCCCGTTCCAGATGACGACGTGGAAAGAGACACACCCGTGAAACGGTGGATCAGAGAGGACTCCAAGAACGCCCCGGAAACCGCAGAGAGCCCTCCATTCAGCAACGAGGATATCGGCAGCGCGATAGCGCGGCTCAAAAGAAGCAAATGCCCTGGCCCCAAACAGATCGAGTCGGAGGTAATTCAGGAAGCACCGAGAACCATTCATCAAGAGCTACTGAAACCCGTCAACGCCTGTTTGGAGTGGGGATTCTTGCCGAGAGGATGAAAATCGGTAACGTTGTTACTATACTCAAAGGACCGGAGAGAGGCAGAAGTAGCCCAAAGTCATATAGGCCGATACGCTTGCTCTCAATGATTGGCAAGCTATTGGAGCGACAATTGGCGGAAAGGATGGACCCACTCTTCCACAATCATATACTGTCATCGGAGCGACAGTTCGGATTCCGTCCTGGAAAATCGACAGAAGATGCTATTGTCAAGCTACGAGGAGCGATAAATGAGAAGAACGAGTGGAAGTACATTTTAGCGATTGCACTCGACAATTCGGGTGCATTCGATAATGTGTGGTTGCCTAACATGCTCCAAGAGCTGAAGCGAAGGAACTGCGCGCAGAACTTGTACAAGCTGACGACAAGCTACTTCACGGACAGGAGAGTCCAGCTGATAGGGAAGCACGAATCTGTCGAAAAGTCAGTAACAATGGGTTGCACGCATGGGTCGATACTAGGCCCCAGCCTCTGGAATATAGTTTTCTAGAGGACTAGAGTCCGAGGGGACCCAATGCGAAGCGGTCGCGTACGCCGACGATATAATAATCCTGATCGGCGGTAACTCGCAGGAGGAACTGCGGCGAGAGGGGCAATCAGCGGTCACAGCGGTCTCTACTTGGTGCAGCCGCAAGAGGCTAGCACTGTCGGCCGAGAAGACGGAGATGCTGTTGGTGAAGGGAAAGCTCGATGCCGAACGACCACCAACAATACGCATCAACGGGAAAAGCATCAGGATGCGCCCATCGATCAAATACCTGGGCGTGCATCTTGAGCGCGGCCTGAGGATCGAGAAGCACGTGCAGGAGACAGCGCACAAGTGCAGAAGAATGTTCAACAGCCTAACAGGTGCAGAAGAATGATCAACAGCCTCGCAAAGGTGGCCAAGGCGAACTGGTGTCTCGGACGTGGAGCCTTAACCACCCTGTACAGGGGGCTCTTTGTCCCGATCGCCACGTACACCGCAGATAGCTGGAGCGACCTGCAGAACTTGAAGACAAAGAAGATCCTCTAGAGATTGCAGAGAATGGCCTTGCTTCAGGTCACGAAGGCGTACCGGACAATTTCAACAGAGGCCCTACAGGTGATAGCTGGGGAAATGCCTATCGGCCTGGTGGTTGAGATGCACGCTCGGATGCACGCAGAAAGGAAAGGAACCACGGACATGATGGAAACAAAGCGGCGCCTACGGGATGCGGCCATGGCCACTTTGCAGGAGCGTTGGCGCGCGAAAGAGAAAGGGCGAACAACATACGCCTACTTCAGCAGCGTCCACGAGAGGGTCAAGGATGAATGGATCCACGTGGACCACTATGTGACACAGTTCCTCAATGGCCACGGAGACTTCAATAGCAACCTGAAGTACTTCGGCTGCAGCGATAAGGAACTGTGCGACTGCAGAGAAGAGGAAACGCCGAGGCACATCATAGAAGAGTGGCCACTCTATGGTGAAAGCCGGCGCGCACTGAAAGAAGGACTCGACGTCCTCAGATTCAGGTGGCCAGTGGAAAGTCGTATGCTCACGTCGAGAAAGTTGTGTCGTCACTATCGGATGTTCGCACGCGACGTAATCTCCGCCAAGGAGACGGAAAGGCGGGAAAGAAGAGAGGGAACAACCACAAGAAGAAAACGTGGTGGCGGAGGGCCTAGACGCGGTGTGGAAGGAGAAGAAGGAATTAGAGGCAGAGGACTAAGAACAAGCACAAGGCTGGCACAAGCAGGTCCCAACCGGAACAGGACCAACCGCTGCTACGGAGGAAGTAGCCAACTCGCACATGCGAAGAAGATGGCCAGACAGGATGACCACGAGAAGCACCGGAGGGAAACAACAGCAAGGGATGAGAGGTAAGGCACCTGTGACCGTAACCGCAGACGGTATCCAGAGATGGATACCGGAACGGTGCAGGTATACCGGCACAGGCTATCCTGCTGGGACCGAGCGTAAGCTGGCAGATCCGCCTCCACGTGGTCCCGGCTGGCAACGAGGCTGCGGGCTGCTGGAGAACCCGGAGCCACGGCCAAGTGAGCTGCTTCCCGCAAGGGTAGGCCCAACCTGTCCCATGAACCATACACGGTGAGGGTAGGGCTTTACCTAGTCGCGTGTTCAACAACTACACACGCGTTCCCCTGCAGCGGTGACGCTAGAAAGCACAATAACATCTTTTTCGCGAAGCAGTTATAAAGCACTAGCTCGAGGTACGGCGCGGCCGCCAGTTGGCGGGCCCCGGTGACACAAACAATACTTGCCATTCGGTGGATTTATGCGCTCTACTGTACTCTGGTATGTCCTGCTTGGCTCTGGGGATGGCAGCAATAGCGGTCTCGGCACGTTAGCATGAGTTAGGCTATGTTTTTGTTATGTCCTGTTTGTTTAGGTTTCGCTTCGGTAGCTTTGACTTTTCTGGCATACACAGCAATTTTATGGATTGCTGCGTTCTACTCTCCACTAATATGTTCTGCGTGACTCTGGGGAGGCCAGCAATAGTGGTTGCGAACGTTAGGTCGTGTTAGGTTTTGTTCGGTTATGTTAAGTTTGGGTAGGTTTGGAGAGGATGGCTTTGGCTTTAGTGCTATAGCCCGATATTAGGTGGATTCCTGCGCCATACAGAGCTCTAATATTTTCAGCTTGATTCTGGGATGGCCAGCAATAGTATTCTCCGAACGTTATGTTGAGTCTGGTAGCGTTAGGATAGGTTGGGTTAGGAAAAGTTTGGTCAGGATATCTTCACGTTTTTTGCTGTACACTGCTGTTCGGTGGGTTTCTGCGCTCTACTGCGCTCTAGTACGTCCTGCGTGGATCTGGGGAGAACAGCAACAGCGGTCTCGACATGTAAGGTGGAGTCCGGCTATGCTTGGCTATGTTCCGTTGGTTTGGGTTTGGCACGGCTAGCTTTGACTTTTCTGATATACATTGCGCTTCTATGGATTTCTGCGTTCTACTCTCCACTAATATGTTCTGCGTGATTCTGGGGAAGCCACCAATAGTGGTTGCGAACGTTAGGTCGTGTTAGGTTTTGTTCGGTTATGCTACGACTGGTCATGTTAGGAGGGGATTGCTGTGTCTATAGCGCTGTAGTCTGCTATTACGTGGAATCCTGCGCTCTACAGAGCTCTAGTGCGCAAAGCTTGGCTGTGCGAAGGCCATAAATAGTGGTCTCGTCGCGTTATGCTGAGTCAGGTACGTACGGCTATGTTGTTTTGTGATAAGTTAGGATATGATAGCTTCAACTTTTGTGATGTACAATGATATTCGTCGGATGGCTGCGTTCTATTTCCCACCAGTGTGTTCTGCTTGGGTCTTGTGTGGGCAGCAATATTGGTCGCGGCATGTTAGGTTACGTTAGGTTACTTTTGGTTATGTTAAGTTTGGTTTGGTTAGCAGAGGATGGCTTTGGCTTTAGTGCTATTGCCCGATATTAGGTGGATCCCTACGCCATACAGTGCTCTAATATTTTCAGCTTGGCCCCGGGCAGGCAAGCAATAGTAGTGTCGAAAGGTTGTGCTGTGTCATGTTGCGTTCGGTAAGGTTGGGTGAGGCTAAGTGTGGTTAGGGTATCTCCAACAATTGCTGTACGCTGCTGTTCAGTAGATTTATGCGCTCCTCTGCGTTCCAGTACGCACTGCGTGGATCTGCGTGGAGCCGCGACAGATATTGCTGGCGTTTCCAGAGCCGAGCAAGGCATTGTAGAGCGCACAAATCCAGTGAATAGATGTGTGTACCACGAAAGTCAAGGCTATCAAAAGCTAACCCAAACGAAAATGGTCTAACCAATCGTAATCTAGCTCAACCAAGCGTGACGCGACCACTGTTGCTGGCCTCCCCATAGCCAAGCAAGGGATATTAGAACAAAGCAGAAGGCAGAAATCCAACGAATACCAGTGTATAGCACAAAAGTCAATCCCATCATAACCAAACCTAATCCAACCTCCCCTAACCAAACATATCTTAACACAACATTTCGTGCCACGATAAATATCGCTGCCCCCCCCCCCAAGAACTGCACTGAGCATAGGTGTTTAGCGCAAGAGTTAATGCTACACCATGCTAACGAATCCAAGCGTAACACTACCAAACGTAACGGACCTAAACCTAACGTGCCGCCACCAATATTGCTGGCCTCCCCAGAGCCAAGCGGAGCACATTAGAGGAGAGTAGGCCGCAGATATCCATAGAAAGCAACTGTGCAGCAGAAGAGTCAAAGATATCCAAACCTAACCCAAACTAACGGAACCTAACATAACGTAGCCGAACACGACGTAACCTGCCAAGACCGCAATTGCTGGTCTCCCCAGGGTAGAGCAGAGTATAGTAGAGCAATGTAGAGCGGTTGAACCCACCAAATAGCAGTGTATGGAACAAAAGTTGATGGTATCACAACCCAACCCGACCAAACCCAACTAAACCAAACACAGCCTATCTCAACCTGCAGCGCCGTCACCGCAATCAATCCTCTACTAGAGCCAAGCAGGACATATTAGGGCACATTGCAGCGCAGAAATCCGCAGATAATAAGTTTGCAGCGCAGAAGTTAAAGCTATCGTTTCCAAACATAGCATAACCCTACGTAACCGAACGTAACGCGGCAAAACATAACCTGCCCAGGCCACTATTGCTAGCCTTCCCAGAGCAAAGATGAAAATGTTAGAGCACTGTAGGGATCCGAAAGATACCTAATAGCAGACTACGGCACCAAAGTCAAAGCTGTCCTCTCCTAACCTAATCAGTCACAACATAACCAAACGTAACATATCTCAAACTTATGTGCCGCGACCTCTATTGCTGGTATCGTCAGAGCCAAGCAGAAGATATTAGTGGAGAGTAGAACGCAGGAGTCCATAGAATCGCAGTGTATATCAGAAAAGACTTGGCCACCCAAGCTGAACCCAAGACAACAGGACATAGACAAACATAGCTTAACTCAACCTGTCGTGGCGAGAATGTTAATGCTTCCCTCCACCGAGCCAGGCAAGGCATACTATAGCACAGTAGAGCGCCGAA